TGTCCCTCTCAAGACTCTCATGGAGTTTTAGAATCTTCTGAGCCACGGAGGTGTCCGAAATAAGTTAGGGGGACCAAAGGGGTCCATGCCTTGCAATTGTAGCCTTTCCCCATTCTAGGATCCCATCAGCCAGCCCCTGTGAATAGCCAGACTCGGGCCTTTTCACTTCCATAATCAGGGAGCCCGATTCGGTTTACATCACCGTTTGGCATCCTGGAACTGATGTTCACAATGGGAGGAATGCCCCGATTTGAAGAAGGGCAAATCACAGATGTCAACTGGCCAAGACCCAAGTGCCAGATTTTTGCCAGAGGCACTACTTTTACACCAGTCTGCACAGTCTGGAGCCTGTAATGAAAGAGGCTGACAGTCTATTAGCAGTGGAATGGTCTGCAGGGCACAGAGGGAAGGAGCTGCCATCCACTCTCACTTCAAGGGCTTTCGAGGGTGAAATCAACTTGCTGCGCCTGTAAGCATGTGTGTACAATCTTAAAAAAAGAAAGGAATCTCAATCCTAGCTCTGCCTGTTAAAATGGACACGTATGACAATAATCTGACATCATGAGAGAAATGTCATCATTTTCCTTATATTCTCTCCTCCCAACCCCTTGAGACAAGTCTGGATGACAATCCTATAACAGAACAAGCATAGCTCAGTCCTAAAAGACCCTTAAAGGTCTTTTCAGCCAACCTCTCTCTAGTGTTTGGCTCCTCACTTCAGTGTTCCTGACAAGGAATCATCCTTTTGCTTGAATGCCTCCAGTCATAGGGAACTTACCACCCACTGGGATGTTTCAAAACATTTCTCTTGCTAATTCCTCTACTGGTTAGAAAGTTCTTCTGGGTCTAAGAGCTTAAATTTGGGACCATTTTTAACTCCCACCCATTAGCCCTCCTTTTTCCCTCTGAAGTGACACACACACAAACACAAAGCCCAAGACAGCCCTCCCCTGAGTCTTTCCCAGGCTGACATGGCTTTAAGTACCCTCACCAGTCTGCCTATACTGCTTTTTGGACAAAATTCAGTTTGTTAACATCTTAAAACTGTGGTCCCCATGCTGAGAAATGTAAAATCTTTGCCACAGCTGTTACTGATGCATACATGCATATGCACACACACATATACATAAAGCTCAGCTAACTGTATTCCCTCCCCCAGCCCCCATTTCATAGCCTTGCTGAAATCCAAATACCCTATATCCACAGCACGTTCTAGATCTATCACCATTAACCATATCAAGTAAAAAGAAAGAGGTGCTCAGAATTGGGCCTGGCCCACATGTGGTCTGACCAATGCAGGGATGGGCAGGACTACTTCCTTCATTGTTCTAGGCGTGACTCTCCTACCATTTCTACCTCAGATGAGATTAATCTTCAGGACAGAATCTACTACTGACTCAAATGGAGCTTTAGGCCAGGCCACGGGCTCAGATTTTTGTTTACTATAGGTGTGACGGGAGCTCTGGTAGCATAATGGCTAAAGCACTTGACTAATAACCAGAAGGCTGGTGGTTCAAACCCACCAGCCACTCCTCGGAAGGAAGGTTGGGCAATCCTACTTCCGTAGTGATACTGCCTCGGAAACACAAGGAGGGGTCTCTATGAGTTGGGGCCGACTCGACGGCACATAACAACAACATAGGTGTGACAGAGAAGTTAGTAAGGCAACATATGACGTGCTAGCATCTCTTCCCCTACCCAAATCCAGGAAAGGTTAGCATTGAGCCCACTGGGATGGGGAGAGATTTTGTGCTAAGGGCTTGCAAGGGGTAGGGAAGGAGGAAGACACTTTGGGTTGGGAGGTGGACGAGGGAAACCATGGAGAGACTGGGCTTGTACCCAAGGCTGGAGTGGAGATGGGGATGGGTGGCAGGGACTGGTGCCTTGTAGGACCATGGTACTTCATTTGTGACCTAAAGGAGGGCTGTTGTTTGGGCCATTTTGAACCCTCCCAGAGCAGCAGTGCCCAAAAGATAAAGGACCATAGCCCAGCATCAAATAGCAGAGCAGAAACCTTAGGGTTATTGAGCAAATGGAATCAGGGTCCTGCCACATCCCTGGCATCTGCCCTCACAGAGTTCCAAGAGTCCTGGTTGACACTAGAGGAATGGCAAACAGCCCAAAGATGACTGAGGTTGAATTTCCAGCTACCCCACCAGGAAGAATAAATCTGACTCAGAAGTAAAGACACGTGATATTATAGTCGCTTACCTGCCACATCTACTGCTGTAGCTCCATGAACCTCTTCCTTCCTCATGTAAGAGAGTTGATTTGGGGGACCCAACTATGTTACTTACATTTTATTCATGCTAAATTTTTCCTTTGACCCATCAAAGCAGCCTTTTGATTGATGAAGATCTCAACTGTCAATCACTTTGTAAGCTCTTCCTCCAACATTCCCACAACCCATGACTTTGGCCACCACATCGTCAGAGTCCTCATGCTAGTCATTAATGACAGGGTTGGGCCCATCTGTGCACAGGGCAGGCCTCATATGTGCTACTTAAAGCTTCCTTCCACATTTGACACAGGCACTCCCGAATCTTGTTCACTCCCTTAGAAACTCATCTGACTACACCATTACCCATCCACATGCCTCTGCCTTGTTCATAGGCTGTATTGTCAAGTGCCTCACTGAAATCCAAATACACTCTACCACTACATGGTCTTGATCCCATCAGCTCAGTGACTACATCAAGGAAAAGAAAATTTAAAGAAAAAGACAGAAGGAAGTCAGTGTGGCAGTGTGGCCTGATTGGCTCTTGGCAAGTCTATACAAGGTCTAAGTGGGCCCTACTACCTATTCGAAGTTCTCAAATCTGGTCTAGAAGACTTAAATCACACTCTAGCCAAATTCATCACCAAAGAACAGGATGTGCCCCTACACATACCACCTCCTCCATGTCCCAATGTCCCTGCCCTGGTCTCTTTGAGATTTTTGTGTCAGAGTTCACAATCAGACGATAAAAGAGGTGGGAGGGAGACAAAAACTGAAAACTAGACCATGGCTGAATTATTTTTCTTTATTTATACAAGTCTGAAGAAAAACTTCATTGAATCGGGGTATAAAACAAATTATAGTGACCTGCGTATAAAACCTGGCACTAAATATGGCCTTTGGGGAACATGTATATATAAAAATTTGCATTAAAATCTGCACCAGAACACAGTGCGTGGTCAACCAAAGATCCTGATGGGAGTGACTACAAAGGTGGGTCTGGCCTGTGGACTCAGGAACCTCTAGTTCTATAGCCTCAGGGATGTGCCTGATGTGAAAACAGTCTGCTCTCAGAAGGAACCAGGAGAGCTCTCCTTTGAAGGCAGGGCCCCTGTGAGTACCAAGATGCCACAAGCCTAGCACAGAACAAAAATGGAACTAGTAAAGAAGGCTCATTCTCCTTTCCCTTGTTCCTGGGCTCTGACCACTGTTCAAGGATTTTGGATCTCTGGTAGATGAACCACCTTTAACTTCAGAGGACTTTCCAATTTCCAAGTATGTTTTTCTAAGTAAGCTGACCAATTCTAACACAAGTAGACAAATCATAAGTAGCGTGAGCTTAAGGATTAAAAAACTCATTCTTATGTCATTTTCTGCAGGTCAAGATCTTGAAATATGAGAACAGTTACAATCACAATGGAAACATATAATGATAACGGAAACATAATGATAACGATCTCCATCTATTTCACTCTTGGACCTAATGCAACTGAGCATTTCTAGCCCAGAAATTATACTTCACAGGCAATGAAATAAAAAGCAACTTCGATCAATGTTGGAATTCCCCATGCTTAGTGTGATCTCACTGAGGCCCTCCACTATCTATGCACCAGGCAGTGGAAGCCTCTGGAGAGGCAGAGTCAATACTGCACACCTATCTTCAAGGATAAAGACAAAGCTCCTTCACTGGCCAGGCCTGTCATTCTGGCTGAACAGGGCTCAGGACTGTTTGTCCACTGGCTTACACATTCATCAGGGGTGCTGATATCCCTGTCTACCTATCCTCTGGCTCTGTGAAAAGTGGTAGCCACCCCTGATTCAGTTGCTCAAGTAGTCTGGCTCCACATACCATCCTCTGTCCTGTGGGGGACTTGAAAATGGGGACCTAACAGAAATGCAAAGTGGGCACAGGGGAGCATTAGGAGAGGCAACTGGGAAGGAAAAAGCCCCATAGGCTTTAAACAGCCCACAAGGATGGCAGCACTACTACAATTTCAGGGTTCCTAATAGTTAATGAAAGGGCTGAGAGTCCTTCCTATCATTCTAGTGGATTCTACAAAGGGAAAACAGCTGCCCTACCAATTTCTATCCAAAAGCAGAGTGATTTTCTCAGCTGCCTCCAGGGTGGGTTTTTTTTTTTTTCTCTCCCAGTCCCTGGCTTGATTGTCTTGCTGCAGTGTGATCTGACACTTTTCTTCAACTATGGCAAGGAGTGATAGGAGAGATGAAGGACAAAAGCTTCTGAATCACGAGGGAGGCATAAAGCTGGGAGTTGTACTAGGCTGTTAATGAGGGACTTTCTCTTGCAAGCAGCATATTTCAGGACCCAAGAGCTGAGAGTAAGAGACAGGTGCTACCCATGCTAATGGGGCTTGGCACCAGTCATTACCATCTCCTCCCCAAGACCAAGTTAACAAAAGGACACTTTGCCTGATAACTATGGCTCTTTCAGGATAGGAGGCCAACTGGACAGTTCCTTCACAGTGTTAGGGCATTTTGAATAGAATGAGGGGGAACTCAGCCCATTTTAAAGTGACCTGACAACACCCTCTAGTGGAAATTATAAATAAAACACAGATCCTGCATCCAATTCACCTTC